GCTGCACCCACCACTGGGTATCACTGGGAAAATGGCAATCAGGCAGCATGAGCAGCTGTGACTGCAGGCGGTAGAAGAGCTTGCAAGTGGGCAGAGGAAGGATGCACAGCATGCAGGTGGGTGGAAAAGATGCAGGGCCTAGCAGTGGGCGGGGGGGGGGTCCTGGATGCATTCTGCCCAGAGCCCCCCAAAACCTGGAACCAGCCCTTTGGTGTTTCATTACATTCTGTATAGTTTTAAACTTGGAATTGAGCCACAAGGGAAAGGGAGAGCATAATCATTTAAATAAATACTTTACCACAATTATACAGAATCAGAGCAATATGTTCATATTCACCATTTCATGCATGTAAAATAACCATTTCGCTACTACAGGCCTTCACCCAAGTATATCCTCATCACTGTTATTGAAACCCACTCAACACTTCTACGCCAACAAAGGAGAAGTCTACAATTTTTGCACATTTCACATTCAAACTACAGTCGCTAGTGCTTCAGGCCAATCTCAGGAACTACTTTCAGACTGGCACTGAGAGCTGCAGAAGATGGGGGCAGCAGGAGAAGCAGGAAGGATCCAGTCCATGAGCTCACAGTTATTCATATGTGATCTAGTCATTGGGCCAGTTCCTTTGACCATACAATGTAATTTTGCAATGCTAGTACAATCCTCGTATAACTGTGAAAGTATACTAGTTCTACCATGTACAACACTTTAAAAAATCACTTATTTCACATGTAAAATATTTTTCAACAGATTTGAGATAATACGAGGTTTGTAGGCATCAAATTCCACATGATCCACCACTGAAGCTGTAATACAAGTGGGATGGATGAATACCACATACATTGATGAAGTGTTCCCCTTTGCTCCTCTTATGACAAATCTTACAAGAGTGCACAGAGCATGCTGAACCTTCAACATGAGAGCAAAACAACACAGCAAAAAACTAATGTGTTCTTATTACTGTGGGGTTGTTGCCTTTAAGGTGCCCATCAGGCATCTTAGGACCTAATCAAGACTCTGATTTCAGCTAGCACTCAAGTGGCGATTTCAGAGTTCCTAAGGCTAGAGTGCTGCACAGGCATCTGAACTGTTTTCCTGAGGGAAGAGGAAGGATAGGTTCAGTTATATGGGTAACTGCTAACAGTACAGCAGTGACCATTAATATCGCCTAAATTGTGCACCTTGCTATGTCCACAGTAACTTCTTTGGTGAACAGCAGAGACATGGACTGTATCTCCAGCGGCCAGTATCTCCAACAGAATCTGTGGCTTGCCCTGGGCATGGATCCAGCCTAAACCAGCATGCTCATTTGTAGCGTTGTGCACACAGATCCAATAAAGAAGACAGCTGGTATGACTGACATAGATGAAAGCAAGAACTTCACAATCACAGAATCCAAGTATTTCACAGCTCTAGCTCAACATTTCCCACACCCTTGATGAAGGCAATAGTGCGTCAGATTTATTCTGTGCACGCTTTGGACAGACAAAAATTACAGTACTATATTAGAAACTGACTATTTCTTCCTCTAAACATTTCCTTGTCTGGCAAGAATGCAACTGTTGCAAAAACCTCACTCCAATTATGTGATACAGATTGTTAGCTGGCAGAAAGTGGAACAATTTGGGCTACCATATTGCTCTCAAGATTAATTTGTTGCCTAGTCAAAGGAAAACTCCAGACTGGCTATTTAACCACTTTCTAAGAAAAACACTATAGTGAAAGAAAAATATAAAACAAAACTGCCAATCATAGTAATTTGATTATTTTATTTATTTATTATATTTATACCCCGCCCATCCCGCGAGCAGGCTCAGGGCAGCTAACACTGCAGTACAATGTACCTAATTGACATACATAAGACTTAAAACTCTATAAAATATCATAAACAAGTACTTTAAAACATGAATTAACAATTTCTACTAAAGGGCATACAGTACAACACATTAGATGGCGCGCTTCCAGATCTCATTCTGCATTATTACACCACTCATCATCCCTCGCGCCGGAAAGCCTAGCGATGTAAAGGACCAGATCTAAGATTCCAGCCTTCACTAGGATCATTGGTGGTAACAGTGGTGGCGGCTCCTATTGGAAAGCCTGGTGGAAGAGCTCCGTCTTGCAGGCCCTGCGGAACTGTAAAAGGTCCCGCAGGGCCCTGATCTCCTCCGGGAGCTCATTCCACCAGTAGGGAGCCGCCACAGAAAAAGCTCTGGTCCTAGTGCTGGTGAGACTTGCATCCTTGGGGCCTGGGATATTCAACCGGTATTGGGCCCCAGACCGTAGTGCTCTCTGGGGTATATATGGGGAAAGGCGGTCCCTCAGGTAGGTCGGACCCTGGCCATGTAGGGCTTTAAAGGTAAGCACTAGCACCTTGAAACGAATCCGGTATGCTATAGGCAGCCAGTGCAGTGACCTAAGCACTGGCTGGATGTGCTCCCACCGTGGAGAACCCATCAGCAGCCTAGCCGTGGCGTTCTGCACTAGCTGCAGCTTCCGGATTTGAGACAAGGGCAGCCCCATGTAGAGAGCGTTGCAGTAGTCAAGTCTCGAGGTGACCGCCGCATGGATCACCGTCGCCGGGTCACTGCGGTCAAGGAAGGGTACCAACTGCCGAACCAGCCGAAGATGGTAAAAGGCCGATTTGGCAGTGGCCGCTACCTGGGCCTCCATTGTCAGGGAGGCATCCAAGGAGCACCCCCAAACTCCTAACCTCCGACGCTGGCACTAGAGGTGCCCCATCGAAGGCCGGGAGCGGGGCCCCCAACCCGGCGCCGCCACGACTCAGGCACAGGACCTCCGTCTTCGCCGGATTTAGCTTCAACCGGCTCAGCCGAAGCCAACCAGCCACAGCCTGTAACGCCCGGTCCAGATCTTCCGGTCTGGAATCCAACCGGCCACCCAACATCAGATAGAGCTGGGTGTCATCAGAGTACTGATGGCAACCCAGCCCAAACCTCCGAGCCACCTGGGCAAGGGGGCGCATAAAGATGTTAAACAACATCGGGGACAGTACTGCGCCCTGGGGTACGCCACACTCAAAGCACCACCCTTTGTTCCCGACCCTGGAGAAAAGAGACAAGCCACTGTAAGGCCAGTCCCTGTATTCCCACGTCGGCGAGGCGGTGGGCAAGCAGCTGGTGGTCGACCATGTCGAACGCAGCCGACAGGTCTAGCAACAGCAGCGCCACCGAGCCACCCCGATCCAGGTGCCTACGGAGGTCGTCAGTAAGGGCGACCAACGCCGTCTCCGTCCCGTGACCTGGGCGGAAGCCGGACTGGAAGGTATCAAGAGTAGAAGCGTCATCCAGAAAACCTTGCAGCTGTACCACCACCGCCCTCTCAATCAACTTGCCCAAATAGGGCAAATTGGACACCGGCCGATAGCTGTCCAATTTGGCCAGGTCTAAAGTTGGTTTTTTCAAGAGAGGGCGGACCATCACCTCCTTGAGAGCTCCTGGGAACCGTCCCTCGGCGAGGGACTTGTTAATAATCTCCCTAAGAGCTCCTCGAAACCCCTCATGGCCGGCTTTAATGAGCCAGGAAGGGCACGGATCAAGGGCGCATGTGGTTGGGCGTACAGCTATGCGTAGTCTGTCAACTTCCTCAAGACTGAGCAGGTCAAAATGATCCAAAACCGACACCGACGTGCAAGGGGCCTCGAGTTCGCTCCCTGTTTCAAACGTGGCAGGGAGGTCACGGCGAAGCGCCAAGACTTTATCCGCAAAATAGCTCGCAAAAGCCTTACTGCCGATCTCCAATTCCCTCTCTTTTAGACTGCCCTGAGGCAAAGCTGTAATAGACCGAATTGTTCTAAATAATTGGGCTGGGCGTGAGCTAGCGGACGCAATCTCCTCTGCAAAGAAAGCCCTCTTTGCAGCCTTGACTGCCATCTCATAGGCTTTCATAAGCGTCCTATAAGATGCTCTTGTAGCTCCATCGCGAACTCGCCGCCACCGTCTCTCCAACCATCTTAACTCCCGCTTCATACTCCTCAGCTCCTGAGTATACCATGGAGCGAGTTTGGCACGGGAGCGCAGAGGGCGCCGGGAGCGATCTCGTCGATGGCAGTAGAGAGTCGGCTGCACCAGTCCTCAACCAACTCATCTAACGAGCCGCCCGGGGGCATTGGATCCCGCAGAGCCCTCTGAAGCTGCAGTGGGTCCATCAGGCTCCGTGGGCGAGCTAAAATACACTCGCCGCCTAAACAGGGTCGGGGTGGAACATTCAGATGGGCCTTCAAGGCATGGTGATCCGACCATGGTACTGCCAAAGCAGTAATCCGGTCCACCGTAACCCCAGCCGTATAGGAAAAGACTTTCAGGAAAGGATGGCAAGCATAACAGATGACTAAAACACGAGGTTTTTGATAATGCAGCTGACAACTGCTCTAAAATGCATTAAGTTCACACTATGACTTGGGGCTCTTTAGCTTGGAGAAAGAACAATTGAAGGGTGACATGATTGAGGTTTACAAGATGTTTATGCATGGGATAGAGCAGGTAGAGAAAGACGTACTTTTCTCTCTTTCTCATACTACAAGAACTCGTGGGCACTCAATGAAATTGCTGAGCAGTCAGGTTAGAACAGATAAAAAGAAGTACTTCTTCACCCAAAGAGTGATTAACACATGGAATTCACTGCCACAGGAGGTGGGTGGCGGCTACAAGCATGGACGGCTTCAAGGGGGGGATTTGGATAAACATATGGAGCAGAGTTCTATCAGTGGCTATTAGCCACAAGGTATAGATAGGAACTCTTGGTCTGGAGCAAGTGATGCTCTGTATTCTTGGTGCTTAGGGAGGGGGGAGCAGTGGAAGGGCTTCTAGTGTCCTGGCCCCACTGGTGGACCTCCTGATGGCACCTGGTATTTTTGGCCACAGTGTGACAGACTGTTGGACAGGATGGGCCATTGGCCTAATCCAACATTGGCTTTTCTTATGTTCTTATGACTTGTTTTATGCTGAGTTGCCTTACATATCCTGGGTTGTCTTACCTGGGCTCCATCCTTTAGCTTCAAGATGCATTCCATTGTATTGATTGTAATCACAACTGGCTCGGAGCCAAGCTTTGTCCATGGCACATGGATGCGTAACTCATGAATGTGTCCACTTAAGAAGGTAAATGGCAGTTTCAGCTCCTTAAAAACAAAATATAAACAAAACAGAATAAAAACAAATGACCAAGTCTGCTATTAAATCTTTTTAAAGTAAGCATTTAAAGGAATTGGGCTACTATGGCATTTACCTACAGTTAACAAAATACTGAATTTTTATTTTCAATGTTGGCAGGAAATTACTATAGTTGAGTTTCAAATAGTCTTTCATTAATATTCATTTGTTTAAATCAAACATCTAGATTGTGGGTCTGGGTGGTCACATTAGTCCACACAAAAATCCAAATGCAGAAGTTGTACAATGCCTTTTATCAAGGACCAACCAAAATATTACAGAACAGTATGCAAGCTTTTGAATTCACCAGAATGCTACATAAGGGTAGATATTTTAAAAATGCGATGCCTCCCCATCTCCCCCGCCCCTCCTCCCATTTTGCTTTTTAACAACAAGCCTGGTGAAGAGCTCTGGATAACACAAAGACTTGCACAGTGTTTTGTGATGTTTTGGAAGTTCCTAATATTACGCAAGGAGCTGCGGTGGCTCAAGTGGTTAAGACGCTGAACTGAAGGCTGTGGAAGGTCAGTAGTTCAGCAGTTCGAAACCCGGGTGCCGCATGATGGAGTGAGCTCCCATCTCTAGTTCCAGCTCCTGCCAACCTAGCAGTTCGAAAGCAAGAAATTGCAAGTAGATAAATAGGTACCACTTCAGTGGGAAGGTAACAGCGTTCCGTGCGCCTTGGGGTTTAGTCATGCCGGCCACATGACCACGGAAACGTCTTCGGACAGCGCTGGCTCTTCAGCTTTGAAATGGAGATGAGCAATAAACAGCAATATGAATTTACAGTGTAATCCTAAAAATACTTTCCTGGGAGTAAGCCTAATTGAATAGAACTGAACAGAATTCTGAGTATATTTGATTTGAACTACTCTGCTTGGGTGGTGAATAATGCTACGCAGATTAAAACACAGAATTGTATTTGATGTAAGCAGAAAATAGCTATAACAACATACCTGTTCCAGTACATCGAGTTTTAGTTCAAGTTTGCTAAGCACTACATCTCCTCCCCAGAGTGACAGCTGTAGATCAGAGGGCTTCAAATTCTTAATGTAGCGATTTACATAACTCATCAGAATAGGAGTCACGTAGGACTCCAACATTGTGCCTTAGGTAATCAAACCTGTAGAAAATACAAACCATGCAAAATCTTAATACATGTAATATAATATACAACATGCAAAATCTTAATACATGTAATATAATATACAACATAGTTTTGAAATATTATCTTGCTAATAAGCAAAATATTAGAGAACACACCTATTACGGCTGCCAATAAGGCCAATCAAGTGAGTAACTTTAAACTGATGTAATCTCATTTCAACTAGACTAGTAGCCTGATCCTGTTCATGTTTATATGAAAGTCTACACTACCATACGTACACCTGCTTGGGGATAAATCCCGCAGTAGAAATTATATCATGTAAACATACAACCTCAGACTACAAGAGAGCATTCAATCTCTGAATAAAGCACAGAATGAGTGAACTGTGTGCATCAATTTAAATTATGGTACCCTGCCATAAATAGTTCACAGATCAGATGGTCTGGCAACAACTGTAGAACTACAAACAATAGGCCTTCAGAATTTGTGAACATGTGACCCAAATATGTTTTGGTATGGTACACACAAAAATAGCCCTATTGTGTTAATTTAACAGTGTAACTTTGACAGCACCCAGAAGAGAGAAACTGCTGTAGAACAAAGTGTGCAGTCTGGAGCATTCGAAAACATATTACTCTATTTTCATTTTGAATTTTTTTTGCTGTCAGGCATGTTTGTATCCCTAAATTACAACATCATCCACAGCCATGGCACACTCTTATCACTTCAGTGACAACCAAAAGGTATTGATCTTTAGCTTCTTTATAAAGTCGCCTTGCAAACTTTACACTGTGATCAAATCAGCCCGGACAGCGTTAAGTGTACAATCCAGAAAAAGGAGGAGGGAAATAGAAGGAAATAGAAGTAAACAATCCAAGAGGTAAACTTCCAGCACCTTCTGCCACGTAAACTCTGAGGAACAGACCTTCACAGGTCGTCCATTCTGCAGAGATGCTCCCTGTACACGCCGTCCAGAATAACCAAAATAACTGAAGTAGCCGATAGCACCACACGCCCCGCCACCAACACACCTGCACCCACCCCTTTCCCCCCAAACACCTTCCTTTACTCACCTGTTCCTCACAAAACCACCAGCTTCTTTCCTTCCCCTCCTGAGGGACTGCCTCACCGCCCCTCGTCCTCATGGGGCTCTCCCCAGCTGCAACGCTAAAGGCTCCTTCCACCGACTCATTCCCCGGCTATCTTACGCACCAGCGGCGGGCTTCTCCGAGGGCCAGAGAGGCTGCGACTGCACCGCCGCGGAGGCGGTTCCGGGTTTCCAGGGCAGCTGGTGTCTCAGCTTAAACACTCCTCCTTCGCGTGATCGGACATGTTTGACGGTGACACCATCCGGCAGGAGTGGCTGGGCTTGGAAGGGAGGGGCTTGTGGGGCGGAGTTGTCGGGTTGTAGGCAAGTGAGGTGCGCGCGAAGCGGCTCCCTCAGAAGCAAACAACGTGTTTGACGCGCCGACGGTTTCTGTATGGGGCGGCTTAAGGCAGGAAAGGGACTATGCAACGTCTTTGCTGGAGAGTGTGCGCCGTTGCAATAGGGTACCTCCTGAAGATTAGTTCCAAGCGAATCACCGTCTTAGTCTGTAAGAACAACATAAAGTAGGAGTTGTAGGGTTCCCAACCTCTAGGTGGAGCCTGGAGATCTCCTGGTACTATGACTGATTGCCAAACTACAGAGATCAGTTCCCCTGGAGAAAATTGCTGCTCTGGTGGGTGGATCTGGGGCATTATATCATACTGGTCCATCTTCACCTTAGGCCCCGCGGTTCCCAGACTCCACCCCTAAATCTCCAGGTATTTCCCAACCCAAAGTCGGCAACCCTAGCTTAAGTTAGAACAAATGTCTGGAGTCAGAAGTAGCGCCTGATAAAGTGAGCTCCTACTCACGGAGTTAGGCTTGAATAAATACCATACTAAGATGCCACTGGTCCCCTGTTTTGTCCTGAGGGGTAAAGGTACATAGAGTGGGGAGTTACAGAAGAAGAAAAGCAGAACAGGAGCTGAGTGGGACTTTAAAGACTAACAGTTTATTTAAACATAAACTTTTGTTAGTCAGTTTACTTCATCAGGTGCAAGTGAGGTCTAACACTTTTGTGCTGGAATGCTGTTAGTCTCAAGTGCTGCTGGACTGTTTTAGAGGTGTGACTGTCTTAGTGGCAAAAAAAACCAGGCTGGGCTTAATCGTGTGGCTTTCAAGAGAGTATATCCTCAAAGCTCTGAGAACAATTTTAAATAGGTCTATGTGGAATAAGTCCCATTCTGTTCGATGGGGCTTACTTCCAAAAAGCCACAGTAAAGTATTAAGATTTGGAGTTTCCAGCTGAAATCTTTTCACACACTGAGAATTATTTGTTTTTGTATTTTCTCTCCTTAGCCAGCACTGTAATATCAACAGTTATCCACAGTGTGTCACAAAATAAGCACTTTTCTGTGACACATAAACTTTTGTGGATTAGAGCCCACTTTTTCAGATGCACGTCCTCAGTAGGCAAACATATTTATGAGTTTAACAATGGCGGATGGCAGGGTCAAAGGGCAATGAAATACAAGGTGAGCCGCAATTAGGTGAAGTTCAAATGTAATGAAAAGTACAGAGGCAATAGCAGTAATTGGCTCTAGTTGTACTAAATTAGTTAACACCTTTGATGACTGAGGAATCCCAAGTCCTCCTTTAAAGCCTCAGGAGGTGGTATCAAACCTTGATGAATTCTAATTCAGCAGTTTGATGCTCCAGGCTCCCATTGTAGTTCTTTTGCAAGAAAATTGTGACTTTTAGTTTGGCAACAGTTTGTCCTAGGAGACTGGGTTATTCTCCCACTGGTTTCTAAATATTGCCATTTTCAGCACTGGGTTTTGGTCCATTTTTTGGTCATACGATAAGAGCAGGAGGGAATAGATCATATTGGGGGATAAGCAAATGGATGAGTCCAAGATGGTATAGCTGGTGTTCATGAGTCCTGGAACAGCACTGCCTGTGTGAATTTAGCCAGTGGTATCTGATTTGTTGTAGGGTTAAAGATGTAACATTTTCAGCAGTGTTTAAGCTATGGGGAAAAAAGATTTTTGTCCTGGGATGTGGAGTGAGAAGGGAAGCAAGCATAAGTATTTGGGGTGACGTGTAAATTGAAGTATCCACCATGGATGGTAGGTCCCTTAGGAATTCATCGGTGTCTGACAATTAACATGGGATGCTGCTGAGACAGGGTGCCTTAAAATGGATCTCTTGCCCTTTCATTTGTTTGTTTATGTAAATTGAAACAGGACTCAGAAAAACCTTCTGTGAGGACACAAAATGCTGCAAGAAGTTTTAAATCTATGTTAGCACTTTTTATGTGTCTATAGTCTACATTCAGTTTAATTCTTTTTTAAAATTTAAACTGCTTGTATCACACCTGTTTTTCATCAGGATCCAAGGTGGCATACAAAGATAGTTTAAAAGCAACAATGCAGAGAGAAACACTTTTTTTAAAAGTCAGTTATCAGACAAGTTTAATAGTGAACAACCTTCAGATCAGCTACTACTACAAGCTGTCAGAGGCTATTGAAATGTTTTTGTTTTGCACTGCCTCCGAAAGAGCCTAAGAGTCGGTGCCTTGATGATGGCTGTTCCACATTGTGGGGACAGCCGCAATAAAAACCCATGATCAGGTGGAAATGGTTCTCACCCCCTTACAGTTTGCAAAATATAATACATATTGTGGAGATAATCATAGTGGCCACAGGGGTTCATACAGGGATAGATGGTCCCCAAAGTATAAGGGACTGGGGTCGTGAGGGGGTGTTAAAGGCTCAAGACCCACACCAAAAAAGTATCATACTTCGTATTCAGTTATGTTTCACATACTAAAGAGGTTCTTAGCATCACCTCTAAACATTTCTGAATGAGTTTGTTGTATCATGAGCTTCTGTAAGTAGCAGCCTTCTTTGTTAGATGAGTAAAATGGAGTAGGGTAATAGCTATGTGTATACCAGTATCCAGGAGGAGGGAAAAGTGAGTTACTCTGAGCTTGCAGAAGTGCTAGGAAGGGTGCTCTGTTACTAGCTGGAGGAATAAGGGCAACTTCCATCCAAACGGGAAGATCAGCTTGGCCTAACTAGATCTAAATTCTGGCACACTGGTTTCCCTTTCCCTTGTGTGTTTATTTTATAAACCTGTGGGTAAGCGCTAAGGAAAGAGGAATCAGAGTCCATTGCTATTTTTCAGAAAGAGCTGTGAGTAGAAAGCTTCATATCAGTAACAAAATAGATATGCAGCCTTTCCAACACTGTTTCAGATATACATTAAATCTCCATATCATGAAAACAAAAGGCTATTATCCCACACCGTGGTTCAATCTATATGAGTTTGATTTCTGTATCTGATATTCAACTATGTTTTGCTGGCGGTAACACATTGTTGAAGATGCTTTTGAATGGGAAAAAAAGTATTATTGAGGTATTCTGGTGTTGCTGGGAAAATATTTCTAAATATATCCTGGGTAGAACACAGTTTGAGTCAGAGAAAGTGTGTGCATATGAAAGCTCATACCTTGAATAAAATTTTGTTTGTCTTAATTTTTTTTCTACTGCTTCAGACCAATACACCTAGCCACCTGGATCTATATCCTGGGAAGTTAGGTTGAAGAACATGCACTTTAGATACTATCTTTTTCACCAGTTTTGAGGCCAGATATTCAAAATTACCTGTCTTTATTTTTAGGTAATATGAAGAGCTTCGGCAGTTTTCCATTCATACTCCTTGAATGAATTCCATTCATATTTTCATTCCTTTAGATGAGAGCTTTCATTTAAACCCTTCTGAATGAGTGCCTCAAACTGAGATACATCTGCCAAAGAATTCTGTATTTCTGGTTATAGTACATGATGTACAAGTAGGAATAAACGCTCCATGATTTATTGTCACTTCCAGGTCTTGTCAGATTTATGTCCTTGGTCTTTCACACACTACTGTGTAATAAAGAGAATCTGTGAACTTGCAAAGGCAGCTTCACCTTGGCATTCAGACATTAAGGAGAATGTGGGAGCTAAACAAACCCTTAGAAACTGTGATTTTGAAGGTGGCATTTGTACTATAATTACATAATAGTTTGTTTTAGAAGGAGACTGAATGCTCTTGCGCAGTGAAGCATATATGACAGCTTATTTCTTTGCAACCATTTGTTTCTACAGAGTATGAAATGGATGCAGGAAAATAGTAGATTCTTGTTGAAAAACTGAATTTAATTAGTGTTTGTTCACAAATTCTGCTTTTATATAGTCATATCCTCACAGGATGCTGAAAAAATCGTGATCACACTCCAGCATGTCTGGCAAGTAGAAAGGCGCGGGGGGGGGGGGGGGGGGGGGAAGGGAATGCTTCCAGCATATAGGGTTAATGTCCAAATTCCTTCCAGAAACAAAACAATTTCTGCCATCTTTAGAGAAAGAGGGAAAGGTTACTTTACTAATCTAGCAAACAGTTAAAGCTCCCATGTGAGTAACCCAGGCTTTCCAGCAGCAAACACTAAGGAACTGCTGACTTTTCCAAATCTCCTGTCTTTAAAGTTAGACTAAAGTCCATTTCCTCTCCTGAGCCAAAAATTCTAACAGCCTGACAGTATCATAAATTGATACCCAGAAAGAATTTAAATCTGTATTCCCACTGTATGTCTAACAGCTCTTATTTCTTCACCCTAAAGACAAACAATTAGAAAAGATTGCTTGAATTAGATGATTCCACCCATTAATACAGTTTCTTTCCACTATTTCCTATCCAGCTGAATTAGCTGATAGATTATGTTGTTGTTATTATAAGTGAACTAAGAGACATTTGCTAGTTCAAATTATATCTTATTAAAATCTCCAAGAAGAAGAAATTCCACTTAGTTATTCCAGAAAAACATATTTAAGTTTCTGGCCTCTGTGTTACATTTGAAGATGCATTCTGTTTGCTGTTGTTTTCAAGGTTCACTTTCATTTCTCTATATAATTCTACTATTTAAATTCCAAAGATGGCATTCCTACTCAATAAATAAACTAATGTCTTCACTAGTTCTGTGGGGAAGCCCTGCTTGATGCCATCACAATCATTTCTACAGTCTTGCCGTCTTTTGGACATACTGTGGAGCTACAGTCCATATACATAAAGGGGAGGGGTGAGATTTCATACAGTACATGGATGGG